AAGAGCAGGAGTAGCTAACTCGTATCGGATACTGGGGTCTCTAAGCGGAAGACTGTAAAGAGACAAAGAAGCTGCCTGTATCGTGTGAAAAGGGAGATTCTGCAAGCAGACCTACCAATTGCAAGTGTGTATGCACCCAGCGCCAAGGCACCCAGATGCACACACAAAGCAAATATTACTCACCTGGCAGGGACAGAGATTCTAATGCAATAGATGTCGGGGACTTTGACACCCCACACTTGGTGATGAACCGTCCTCCAGAAGGAGAGTCAGTCAAGAAGCATTGGGGTTAAACTACACACCAGACCAAAGGAACCCAACACAACAATTCACCCAGATGCTACAGGATACACATTTTTTCATCAACGTATGGAACATTCCCCAGAATAGACCCTATCTTAGGACACAAAATAACAGTCAATAAGTTCAAGAAAGTAGAAATCACATCAAGTATTTTTTTTCTGACCAAAATGAGAAACAAACAAGAGAAACCTCGGAAATTACATAAACACATGAACACTGAACAACATCCTCCCAAATGATCGGTGGGTCAGTGAAGAAATTTAAAGAAGGAGATTAAAACAATTTGTTGAAACAGATAAGAATGGAGACACAACACAGCAAAATCTATGGGATGCAGCAAAAGCAGTATTAAGAGGAAGGATGTTTATAGCAATAAACCTTCTATGTCAAAAAAGTAAAAAGATTTCAAACAATCAACCTACCCACATACCTCAAAGAACTAGAGGAGCAAGAACAAATCAAGCCCCAAAGTTGCAGAAGAAATAATAAAGATCAGAGCAGAAATACATGAAATTGAGGCTAAGAGATGCACAGCAGGTCAGTGAAATGAAAGGTTGTTTTTTAAAAGATAAACAAAATGGACACACTTTTAACTAGACTAAGAAAAAAGAGAGAAGGTGACCCAAGTAAATAAAATTAGAAACAAAAAAGGAGACAAAAACTGATACCACAGATACATAAATCATTAGACTATTATACACAACTATATACCAACAAATTGGAAAACTGAGAAGGAACATATATGTTCCTAGACACATAAACCCTACCAATACTGAACCACAAGGAAATAGGAACCTCAACAAAACAATACTGAGTGATGATATTGAAGCTGCAATAAAAAATGTTCCATCAAAGAAAAGCCCAGAACTGATGGCTTCATTGCTGAATTCTACCAAACATTTAAAGAAGAAGTAATGCCAATTTTACTTAAACTATTCCAAAGAATTTCAGAGGAAGAAATATTTTCAAACTCATTCTGTGAGACCAACTTTATCCTGATATCAAAACCTGAAAATAACACAACAAGAAAGAAAACTACAGGCCAATATCATTGATGAACGTAGATGCAAAAATTCTTAACAAATACTAACATACCAAATTCAGTAAGATATTAAAAATATTATTTGCCACGATCAAGTTGTGTTCATCCCGGGACTACAAGGATGGTTCAACATATCCACATTTATAAACATGATATATCATACTAACAGAACCAAGAAGAAAAACCATTTGATTATTTTAATAGATGCTGAAAAAGCATTTGATAAAATGCAACGTTCCTTTATGATAAAAACCCTCAGTAGACTGGGCATAGAGGAAGCATACCTCAAAATAATAAAGGTCATGTATGACAACCTCACAATTATCATCATACTGAATGGGGAAAAAATCGAAGGCCTTTCCTCCACAAGATGGAACAAGACAGGGATAACTACTTTCACCACTTCTATTTAGTATAATACTAGAAGTCCTGGACACAGCAATCAGGCAAGAGAAACAAATAACGGGCAACTCAACTGGAGAGATAGAAGTCAAATCAGCTGTGTTTGCGGAAAATATGATCTTCAAAAGAAGACACACAGGTGGCCAACAGCTATGTGAAAAAGAAAGAGCTCAGCATCACTCACCATCAGGGAAATACAAATAAAAACCATCCTGAAACATTTTCCCACCCCAGTTAAAGTGGCTTTTATAAAAAGACAAGGAATAACAGGCTGGTGAGAATGTAGGCAAAGAGGGGCCCTCAAGCACTGTTGGTGAAATGTCAGTTAGTACAGCCATCATGGGAAACAGTTTGGAGATCCCAAGAAACCAAAAGCAGAATGATCATGTGATCCAGCGACCCCACTGCTGGGTATTTATCCAGAAGAAACGAGTCTATTGAAGAGACACATGCATGTTTCTTGCAGCGCTGTTCACAATAGCCATGGCACGAAATCCGCCTAAGCATCCATCCACAGGTGAACGGATAAAAACAATGTGGTTTATCAACACAGCGGAGTATTATTCAGTCACAACAAGGGTGCAATTCTGGCGTTTGCTGCAGCATGCATGGAACGGAAAGTCATTAGGTTACGTGAGATAAGCCAGGCGGAGAAAGACAAACACTGTGTGCTCTCACTCCTGTGTGAGTTATTAGATTTATTGGATTTAGCAGATCTCATGAAGGCAGGAAGAACATGGTTGTTACCGGAGGCCTGGAAGGATGGGGGGCGTTGAACGCCGAGAGGTTGATTAGTGGGTCCGAGACACAGTTGGAAGAAATAAGACCTAGTGTTTGAAGAATCAGCAGGTGACACCATTCGTCTATTGTAGATTTCAAAATGGCCAGGAAAGCATAATTCAGATGTTCCTGGCATAAAGAAAAGATGACTGTTTAAGGGGATGGATATTCCCATTACCCTGATTTGCTCTTCACACATTATATGGCTGTATCTAATTATCCCATGTGCAGCAATTGTAAAAAGAGATTGTAATGGAGCTGAAAAATTCCTGTTGCCTGGTGGTACTGTAGCTGCCCGTGTCATTGAGCAACGCGTGACTCGCGTGGCCGTGGTGGCGCTGGTGTGGACAGGCCCACCGTGAGTCCGTTGTGTGAATGGATCGCACATGCAATCCCATCCAAGGCCTGACAAGAAGCTGCATCCCTGGCTTCAGCTTTATTGCGCTGTATTTGTATTGGCTATTTTGAAGTGCACTCCTTGTGCTTAAGGTGAGTGTGTGAAAAAAAGAAAAAAGGAAATAAAAACACCCAGCCTGGAAAGGGAGGCCTTTTTCTCCTGGAAAACAACACTCGGTTGTCCTCAGCCCTGAATGGAGTTGTGCTAATGAGCACACCCTTGCAGAACCTCGAATTTCTCCCAGACATACCAATGAGGGTGCTTTGTGTCTGGTCCGTTGGTTCAGCTTGGAGGGGGCTGTGAGCAGCGTGCGGGAGGCTGGGGCCGAGTGTGAGGGGACGGCCGAGCCTCTGCTTGGTCGCGGGCCTTCGTGGGCTGGTCTCCTCACTCGCTACAGCCACAGGCCTGGCTGCGCTGTGGTCATGTGGTGACCGGCGCCCCTGGGGCTGCGTGGGGACCACCTGTGTGGCATCAAGACGCTCCCGAGTCGCCGGTCTGTCAGGCACGCTCTAGGTTAACCCCTCAACTGTGGGTGAAACGAGATTTCTGTAAAAATAATGCTGAAAAGCGTCTGCAGTCGTATCAGTCTCACCTTGCTTGGAGGAAGGCTCTGAGGGCGCCTGGGTCGGCCAGGTACGGTGGAGACGTGGCCTCGGGAGACACAGGCAGGTGACTGGATCACAGGGGAGCGTCCCTGGGGGAGGCTGCAGTCAAGTCCTCAAGGGGCGCACTCCTCTGGGTTCACACCGCCCTCCTTTCAGAGGACACCATCATCAACGAGGTCGGCCTGGACCCTCCAGGGCCTAATCCCTCCCTGCCCCCAACCCCCGAGAATGTCACCCCTCCCTGCCCTGGACCTCCAAGGCCTCACCCCCCATCCCAGACTCTACAGGACCTCACCCCACCCTGCCTCAGACCCTCCAGGGCCTCACCCTTCCCCGTCCCCAACCCTCAAGAATGTCACCCCTCCTTGCCACAGACCTCCCAAGGAAGGCCTTGACCCTCCCTGCCTCAGACCCTCCAAGGCCTCACCCCTCCCTGTCCCAGACTCTATAGGGCCTCACCCCACTCTGCCCCAGACCCTCCAGGGCCTCACCCCTCCTTGCCCCCAGCCCCCAAGAATGTCACCCCTCCCTGACCCGGACCTCCAAGGCATCACTTCTCCCTGTCCCAGGTTCTACAGGGCCTCACCCTACTCTGCCTCAGACACCCTCCAAGGCCTCACCCCACCCTGCCTCAGACCCTCCAGGGCCTCACCCCTCCCTGTCCCAGACTCTACAGGGCCTCACCCCACTCTGCCTCAGACCCTCCAAGGCTTCACCCCTCCCTGTCCCAACTCTACAGGGCCTCACCCCACCCTGCCTCAGACCCTCCAAGGCCTCACACCTCCCCACCCCCAACCCCCAAGAATGTCACCCCTCCCTGCCCTAGACCCTCCAAAGCCTCACCTCTCTCTGCCCCCAACGTCCGAGAAGTCACCCCTCCCTGCCTGGAACCTCCAAGGAAGGCCTCAGCCCTCCCTGCCCCAGACCTCCAAGGCCTCGGCCCTCCCTGTCCCAGACTCTGCATGGCCTCGCCACACCCTGCCTCAGACCCTCCAAGGCCTCACCCCTTCCTGCCCTGGACCTCCGGGGCCTCACTCCTCCCTGCTGCAGACCCTACAAAGCCTCACCCCTCTCCACCCCCAATCTCTGAGGGCCTCGCCCCCCTTCCCTGGACCCCCAAGGGCCTCGCCTTTCCCTGTTTCAGACCCCTCAGGGCCTCACCCCTCTCTGCCCTGGACCCCCCAGGTTCCTGGCTCAGCCAGCTCTCTCCACTCTCCTTTCAGAGCACAGGGTCATCAATGTGACCTGACCCGGACCACCCAGGGCCTCGCCCCTCCCTTCTCTGGATCCCCCAGGGCCTGGATCCCCAAGGGCCTCGCCTCTCCCTTCCCTGGACCCCCCAGGGTCTCACCCTTCCCTGCCCTAGACCCCAGGGCCTAACCCCTCCCTGCCCCGGACCCCAGGCCACGCCCCTCCCGCTCACTCCACTCTCCCTCCAGAGTACAGGGTCATCAATGAGGCCTGCCCCGGGGCCGAGTGGAACATCATGTGCCGCGAATGCTGTGAGTACGACCAGGTGGAGTGCGCGTGTCCTGGGGGCAAGGAGGTCGTGGGCTACACCATCCCCTGCTGCCGGAATGAGGAGGACGAGTGTGACTCCTGCCTGATCCACCCCGGTGAGTATGGGCGGGGATGTGGCCAACGCGACGTCGGGGACAGGACGGGCTGGGCGCCGAGCTCACACGGGCGGCTGTCCACAAGCTGCAGGGCCTCTGCTGTTGAGAGTGACGCGTCAGGCCTGTCTGACTGGGGGCACAGGGATGACAGGAACCGGCACCCCAGCGCTCCACGTGTGAGCTGCGAGCCTGTCTACATGCTCACTCACTGGGCTGCGGTATAGCTTCTGCTAAGCAGATGGGAAGAGAGCAGGGCTGGCACTTGGCAGACCTGCAGGACACAAGGGCTGGGGGAGAAGGGCGGGCGGAGGGAGGGTGTGTGAAGATGAGTTGGAGAAAGCCGCCATGGCGGAGGGGAAGGGATCTGGAGGACAGACAGCGGGCGCCACGGCCTGCAGCCAGAGGACGTGGGAGCAGGGTCATGCGGGGTCTCGGCGTGGCAGCAGGAGAGTGCATCTACGCCTGGTGTCTGGTCAGCACAGCCATGCTCGCCTTCATGGCCGGGCCAGCCTCTGGCTTGACCTGTGGCCCCCAGGAAATGGTAGAGCTGGCAGGGCAGGGCGGCCCCTGTCCGTCTGCCTCCTCGGTGATGCCACAGAGTGAAAGAGGAGGATGGGCGCAGAGGTGGAGAGGGCCTTGGGGAGGCACGGAAGCACTGCCAGACCCAGCGTCTGCCGCATGGCCTGCTGGGACCTGATGGCGCTTGGCGTGGGACGTCATCTCCAGGACTCCACAGACTCCCAGATCTGTGGCTGCTCTTGCCCCTCAGGCAGGCATGCGGGACCCTGGGGCTCCCGTCCCAGGAGGAGGGTAGTTTCCACCAGTGGCTGAATCTGTAGAGGCTGAGCCCATGGACACGGGGGCTGACCACGTGGAGGCTCGCCTCGGCAGGAGGACTGTGAACAGGGAGGCTGAATGTGTAGAGGCCCTGGAAGACGGAGTCAGGAGGCATGGAGGGAGGCCACACCTACATGCCACAGGCCATGAAAGTCCACGAGTCCATCCCAGGCCGTCACTGCAGAAGTCGAGCAGCCACACACTCGTTTTCCGTGCTCGCTTAGCAGACTCTCGCCAACTCCTGCTCTGGCCACGCTGCATGGCTGAGGTCGGACCGCGAGGTGGACGGTCCCAACTCAGGCTGGTGGCAGGCAGTGGTGGTCGGGAGCCTGGAGCCCGCTCAGCAGGGACACACGGGGAGGGCGAGGGAGGCGGCGGTGGCGATGTCCCAACAGTGGGGCCGTGCTGTGTGCCGGGGCACATCACGTGTGCTGATTTCACTTAAAAACAGAGAAGCCCCAAGGGCAGGGAGGTGCCATTTTAATCCTGGTTTGGCAGACAAAGATTCTGGGCGCAGAGTGCTTCGGCTGTTTGCTCAAGGACACCCAGCGGAAGGGGCAGGGCAGAACTCGGGTGCTGCTCTGATGGTGGGATTGAATTACTGCTGCTCTATCCCACCATCCCTGTCCCCGGGAGACCATGTTTTAAACTGGTCCCTGCCGCCCATTCAGGCCTCTCTGGCTTGGCTGCCGGGGCCCTGCTCCGGCCTCGTGGTGCCTGTGCCACACTTTGGTTATAGAAGCTCAGAACATCAAGTTCATTCCGTGGCAGAGAGACATTTTCTGCCTCCGTCTCACTGAAGTGAGTCACACAGACAGAACGCAGGGTGCAGGGTCAGTCCAGTGAGACTGCGCACGTAAGCCCAGCAGGGAGGTGTGAGGCAGCAATCCAGGCGAGGCACTCCAGGGATTTGCATTTTCATCTTGGTGCTGGTCTGAATTTTCTGTGTATGCCACAGTAAACATGTGACACTTGCATGAAAGGAAAAATCACACGATGGCCGGGCTCTGCCTTTTCTTGAAGGTGGTTCCTGCTCCTTTAAATCATTAGCCACTGGCCAGGTGCTGTGGTTCACACCCGTCATCCCCACACTTTGGGAGGCCGAGGCGGGAGGATTGTTTGAGTCCAAGAGTTCAAGACCAGCTTGGGCAACATAGCCAGACCTCGGCTCTACAAAAAGAAAAATAAATTTTTTTTGAGTCGAGTCTCACTCTGTCGTCCAGACTGGAGGGCAGTGGCACGCTCCTGGCCACTGCAACCTTGACCCGCTGGGCTCAGGTGATCCTTCCACCTCAGCCTTCCAAGAAGCTGGAACCACAGGCATATGCTACCACACCTGGATAATTTTTGATTTATTGTAAAGATGAGGTCTCACCAAGTTGCCCAGGCTGATCTTGAACCCCTGGACTCAGGCAATCCTCTCACCTCTGCCTCCCCAAGTGCTGGGATGGCAGGCATAAGCCATCGCGCCCAGCACAAAAAGCATGCTGGTGTATGACAGCAGTCCCAGTCACCACAGAGGCCTGAGCCCAGGAGGCTGAGGCTGTGCTGAGACAGGGTTGTGCCACAGCACTCCAGCCTGGGCAACAGAGCGAGACCCCGACTCAATAAATAAAAACCATCACTTGCTAAGAGGGTGGCTCCGAAGCGCCTACCTCTCCCATTTGAACCCTGGCACATTCCTTGAGACGGGCCACTTTCCCAAGGGCCTCGGCCCTGTCTGGATCCAGTGCCCTCGGGGCCCTGTGAATGCTCGGCTGACCCCTCCTCTTGGCTGTTTCAGGTTGCACCATCTTCGAGAACTGCAAGAGCTGCCACAATGGCTCCTGGGGAGGCACCTTGGACGACTTCTACGTGAAGGGGCTGTACTGTTCGGAGTGCCGCGCCGGCTGGTACGGCGGGGACTGCATGCGTGAGTAGCCCGATCCTCCTGTCTCTACTGCAGGCTGGTGCCCTGGGGACTGTATGTGTGTAGCTCTGATCCTCTTGTCTCTACTGAGGTTTGATACACTGGGGGCCATGTGTGAGTAGCCCCAACCCTCCTGTCTCTACCGCAGGCTGCACGTCGTGGCCCAGGCAGGCTGAGGGCTGTCTCTGGTCACAGAGTTCCAAGGGCTTGGCCAAAGGGCTCTCTAAGTGGGCCTGTGAACAGGGCCATACCCCACTGCGGTGTGGACTTGCTGGCCATGGGAAGCTCAGCTCTGCCCCAGCCTCCTTTCTAAGGGAGGCCAAGCCACACTGCCCGCGGTATGCCCCGCCTGGTCCAGGAGCAGCTTGGTTTGCCGTGGGCAGACAGCCGCCAGGCCTTCAGAAGTATTGCCCGCAGTGCCTCTCAGATGAGCTTCTGTTGGCAAATTTCTCGAGGCCCCGTTGAATTCCTGGAATCCTCAACCTGCCGCCAGCATGCCATCTGTCCCAGGAGAGGGATTCTCTCTGGGATCGGCATGATCTCAAAGAACGACTTCCGCTCACAAAGCATCCTCCTGTGAGTTCAAAATCCCTTGAAAACGGAGTGGCGATTCAGCTTTGTGCTGGGCCCTGTCTGGGTCCAGCGCCCTCAGGGCCCTGTGAGTGCTTGGCTAACCCCTCCTCTCGGCTGTCCCAGCTTGCATCATCTTCGAGAACTACAAGAGCTGTCTAGACTGCCCCTCTGCAGGGTCTGGGCAGACACATGACCTTCGAGGGCCACGTGCTGATTTTGTTAGGCTGTCCAACACGCCTCTCATGTGGACCAGAGATGTCAGAAGGGCCCGTGGTCTCCTGCACCCATGGTCTGAGCTTCCAGCTTCCAGCACAGAGGCTGCAGCATCCCTGTGGTGCCGCTGATCCCGCCAGCAGGGACACGCCACGGGCTCATGACTCAGGGCTGAGGGTGCGGATCAGAGTCTGCAGTCGAGAACGCCTTAACTGTGCCCGGATGGGGTTGTCTGCCCAACCCAGGAGTAAATTGCCCCAAATTCAGAGTCTGTGCAGAGCCGGTCTCCGTAGTGGCTTTGATACTGAAGCCACATTCGGTAGCTTCTGGCACACGCAATTCAGCACCTGCAGCCGTGCTCCAGTGGGTCAGCCGAGGGAGTCGCCCGGGCCCCTCTGGCAGCTGCTCTTGTTCATAGAGAACGTCTCTGTGGTGCTGGAATTCACGCTCTGGGGTGACACTACTCTGGGCTCATATCTCACCTGAGCCGTCCCTCCCGGTGACCTGGATAGGTCATCTAGTCTCTGACACCCAAGTTTCCCTGGAAATGGGCATGACACTGCCTCCCCAACCAGGCGGAAGGAGGGTTAAATGAGATGGTAAACGGTATGCTGACACTGGCACTGTCTCTGGGAAGAGAAAAACTCAGTGCGTGCCACAGTATATGGTGACTGTGCTGCAGGCGTCTTGGTGACTGAGCGGCGGGCCCAAGGGTGGAGCAGTTTCAGACATCCTTAGAGCCAGATGCCCGGCTCTGGGTCTCGTGGTGTCCTCCGGGTTCCATGAGGCCATGCAAGCTTCCCTCTGTGGGTTGTGGGGGAGGCAGCTCTCTCTGTGGGAAGGGACTTCGACGGCTGGGCAGGTGGCAGGTGTGGTCGCGTGTGGCTTGCTGGTGGGTGAGTCAGGCGGTGGGAAGCAAGGGCCCTGGTGCAGTGGGGGTGGAGCACGGAAGCAGAGAACCGGGAAACAGCAACTGACCACAGGCTCAGGCCAGGGGAGGCTCAGACGGTGACACGGGGCTGGGCCTGTGCTTCCGTGGGTGACACGGGAGGGGCCCCCGTCGCAGAACAGAAGGCTCAGACCTGAGTGCAAGACGTGCTGGGATGCATGTGATGTGGGAGGGGAGTGCGGTGGTGGCTGAGCATGGAGGCAGCGAGACTGGGAAGGACACGCTCCGGCGCGGTGGGCATCATATGCCAGGGCTCGGGCATGGGCTTGGGTCTGGGGATGATAACGGTGTGCGCAGGGCAGAGTCAGGTCCAGGAGTGACGCTGACGGGTGTCTCCAGCAGTGCCCGGCCGGCGCCTTGGGTGGAGTCCAGCCCATCCCACAGGGCAGTGGGAGGGCGAGCTCGGTGGCTCTAGGGCGGGAGAAGAGAAACTGGTTCCGAGGGAAGCTTGGGGAAGGCGCAGCAGGACTCAGCCTTGTGCTCAGCAGGGGAGGACTTGAGAGGCTGTCTCTCCTGGTTGGTCAGCTCTGCGGAGGCTGACTCTGCTCTCTGAATGACGCAAAAGGCTCAGTCCCCTAGAGACATGCTGGAACCAGAGCACCGACAGGGACACAGTGGACAGCAGCACCAGCTGCAGTCACTGAGGGCAACTGGGTGGGGAAGACCCTTAGCTCAGCTGTGTGCTGGAGTCACTTAGGATTGCTGAGTGTCATTTAGCACAGCCAGGAGCTCCAGTCACATAGGACAGCTGGGTGGGGAAGGTCCTTGGGACAGCTGGGTGCTGGAGTGCCTTGGCTTAGCTGGGCGCTAAAGACCCTTGGGACAGCTGGGTGGGGAAGGCCCTTGGGACAGCTGGGTGCTGGAGTCCCTTAGCTCAGCTGGGACAGAGGTCCTCCAGCACTGTTGGGTGCTCAGTCACTCAGCACAGTTCTGGGCTGCAATCACCAAGCTCTGCTGGGTGCTGCTCTCTGGACTGGTGGCCGCAGGCGTACTCGAGACAGTGCTTTGAATGGTCCAAGCCTGAGCTCAGCCATGGGGAGAGCCTGGTGTGAGCAAGCCGGAGGTTTTGCGCAATGGATACCCGGGCCTCAGCGATGGTCATTTAGCACGCAGACCAGGAGGAGTTGTGGTCAGGACAGCACCCAAGGGGCTCCTCTCCGCGTGGAATGCCCCGTGTTCATAACATCCATCAGGTCCTGCTGTACGGCAAGCCATCTGAAAAGGACAAGGGCTTGCTTTTGCTTCTCGAGCGGTGGGTGGCAGGGTGTGGGGGGGTCCCTGGCCTGAGTGGGCTCCGGGCGGGGATGGCCGCCACAGGGTCCTGGATGGGGCCAGAGGCATGAGCGGCCGACACACAGGCACCCGGGCTCAGCCCCCACAGCCATGAGGGCGCAGTTTGCCTGCCAGGCCCCTGGTGGGGCGACTCCCATCTCCTCCACACCACATGCATCCCGTTCTGCCGTGGAGCACGCAGGCTCACCCAGGGCCCTGGGAGGGGCTCAAGGAAGCAAAGGGAAAAAGATGGCGGCAGAAGCCCCAGTGTTGGCCCCGTGCCTGGCCTGTCCTGCCGTGTGAGGGGTCTCGCTGGGGGGCTGCTGAGAGGCCATGGGTGAGTGAGGTCAAGGCTTTCCCGGGGGTGACGTGCCAGCTCAGTGCGGCCTTCAAGACCACTGGCAGGTCGTGCAGGCGTTGCGCCCCACCCACCCTCTACCCACCCTTCCAAAGCACATCAGGTGTGGGCGCTCCCCGGTGTGGGCACAGCAGTGATGAAATGGAGGTGGCCCCGACCCCTCAGAGCTCACAGTTCAGAGAGGAGGCTCCAACAAGCTGCACGGTCGTTGGGGCATTGAGTGACCAGCCAGACGCGTGGCCAGGCTCCTGTGGCCGGGCTGGGACAGCTGGGGAGCGTGCCCCGACACCTCGATCCACATGGCACCACCAGCCAGGGGTGACCAAAGAGCCCAGGGAATGCCATGGGGCATGGGGCAGTCATGGAGAGCACTGCGGAGCACCCTGGAACATGGGCAGTCACAGGAGGGGTAGGGGGCCCTCCATCGCAGGGCATGGCGGGACATGGGCAGTCATGGGGAGCACCAGGGGCCGTAATGCCTTCACGTCCATCACGGACGGGGCTAGACTGTGAGAGATATCAGTGTCCTACTCTCAGGTGATTGTTTCCAGCCTTGCCCTGGCACTAAATGAATGTGCAGGGAATTCATAGGAAGGAAGTCACGTACAATTTGTTGAGTGCGGGATTGGGCACTGTGTCTGGCTGTGTTAAGGGGCTGCATACACGGTGGCCTGTGCGTGGTGGGGGTACGGCGTGGATCCTTGGGTGTCCTGTGTGTGGCGGGGACATGGCGTGGAGCCTCTGCAGTGCATGCCTTTGTCGACTAGATGGCGCCCATGCAGTTCTTTCCGTCCTTGTCCAGGATGCGCCGGGCTGTGTGCCGGGTACCAGCTGCAGGGCCCGGGTATGCCCCTGAGTGCCCCACGGAGCACCAGAAGGACGGAGGAGAGGCCAGCAGTGCCTAGGCTGGTGCATGTGTGGGGGGCTCGCACGTCGGAGCCGACAGACTCTGGCTTCGTCCTGAGCCGCCTGTCGTGACGGCGTTCGTGACAGTGTCACCCTCACCGGGATGGTCGGCAGCGTGGTGGGATCGACTGGTGCCTAGACGCCTGCAGATGACATCATCGGAGGTCCGAGGTCGCCGAGCTCGGAGAGACTCCCTTCCCTTCCCTCCAGGAGACTGGGGTCGTGGCAGGGTCCCCACGCCGGGTGCCCGTGGTGCCGTGACATATATGGGGCCGCTCGCTCCTTCCTCTTGCCACCTGGAAGCCTCGACGCTGCAGGCGGGGGCGAGCAGCGTGTGGCCAGCTCCAGCCCAACTCGCTGTTGTCCTGTCCTGTGCTGCCTCTCTTCCCTGCCCTGTGGATGCATGCTGTGGGTTTTTCTGTTTCATGGTGTTTCCACAGTTCTGTCTCCAGGGGCCCCCCATCCATGACTGCTCCATGACATGACCTTACTGGCTGGCTCCCTGCACACCCTTTGAGCCCCTTCTTGCACTCTCCTCCCCAAAATACTCCACGTTCCCCCTGACCTCTAAGCCTAGAGCTGAGCCCAGGTTTCTCCGTGAATCCTGGCTTCTGATGGCAGGAAGCTGTATCAGGAAGCATCCTTTGGGATGGCTACTCAGGGCGCTGACACCAAAGCGTCTCTCAAACTCACACATTGCTGTTGGGGACCCACGCCGCGGACCCCACGACT